CACCTTAGGTGTATGTGGCTGGCGCCTTAGCCGCTTGAGCCACAGGCGCCGAGCCTAAAGTTAAGCCTTAATGCAGATAGCTGAATTCCAACTAAAATGGTCACATCCTGGAGTACAATTTGTAAAAAACTAAAAATAAAAAATTGAGATACATACTTAAAAGCGTACACAATATTAAGTGTAGATTGTGACGTGTACAAAGTGCATCCTGATCAAGTCATACTAGACAGCAACCAGAAGGGTTTTTCTTGTTTTTTGAGAGAATATTGAAGTAGTTTAAATCTCCCTGAGCAGACTCTCAATCATACTACAGTTACCTCTGGGGGCGGGGGGGAGGACCCTGACGTCGTGCTGTGTACACTGCATTGTACACCTTGTCTTGCCGGATGAAGTGACTGACGCCAGCATCTACAGAAGTTCCCCTTCATTTTAACCATCCAGAGATTTAGAAATAGCTCCAAAACTTACGAAAGACTTGACTTGAAAATTTTCCAGGAGTCGTTCACTGAAGCAACACATCTGGATACTTTCCAATAAAAGTTTAATCAAATTTTAGGAGCAGGAAAGTGTCCTGTTCTGAGCTCCCTCGGACCCCCTTCCAGGAGGAAAATAGCTCCTCCACACCTTACCCCACCTCTCCAGTCAAACACTCCCCGGTTCCACCGAAGCAGGCAGAGCTCGCAGCGCGACTCAAGGGGGTGCGGGACCACCCTCAGCCTCGGGGTAGTCCGAGTGTCTCCTCTGCGTCCCCAGCTCCCCCCGACTCCCCTAAACCTCCGGCGGAACGCAGCGCTGTTCCTTTAATAATCGCGCTGGAAGGGTGTGCGGAGAAGGGCTGAGCCCTCCCGCCTCCTCCTCCACCGCTCCCTTCCCCTCCTCCCTCCCATCTGAGTTTCAGGTGAATGGGTCACTAAGGAAGGAGGCCGGCCACACCGCACCTTCTCGCTCGCGCCCACTTTCCCCTCCCTGCTTCCTCAGGCGCTGGCGGCAGGACTCCCGGAGGAGCGAGCCAGAGCGCGGAGGAGCGGACCCAGGAGCAGCAGGTGGGACTCGCCGGCCCAGGGACGCCGGCCTCCCGCACCCCTACACCGGGCCTGGCGTTGGTGCGCATGCCCGGGGGCAGGGCTGCGGAGGAGGAGGGTAGGAGGAGGAGAAAGGGAGGAGGGGGAGAGGGAGGAGGGGGAGGAGGGCTGCGTCCCCAACCCGGTCCCAGGCTACGAGCTGGCGGCGGCAGGTGCGTCGGCCAGGTGAGCGCGCTGCTTGGCTCCTGCGGCCACAGGGGGGTCGGGCCCAGCTGCGGTGAGTGGGTGCGAATCGGGCGCGGCGCCGGGGGGCATGGTAGCCCGGAGTCCCTGCTGGGGGACCGCGGCGCCGCTGGCTGGTGGGGGCGGTGCGCAGGGAGGACGCCGGGCGCTGGTTTCGGTGGCAGTTTCGTCCCTGGGCTGGCGCTCGAGGGAACCCGAGAGGCGCGGGTCCGCAGAGAGCGCAGCGCCAGGTAACTTGGGAGGCTGCCTCCTGGAGAGAGGGGCGACCTGGAGCCGCCCACCGGCTTTGTTCCGCGGAAACGCTTACGAGCTGCCGGGCGCCGCCGACAACTTTTCGCTTTCATGGGAGCAGAATCTTGCTGCCAGCTCTGGGCTGCAGTTTTGGGGGTCCTGAACGCGAGGAGCGCGGCGCCGGCCTCCTCGGGGGTCTTAAGCCCAGGGGCCGCTCCCTGGCCGGGGAGGCTTACACCTCGGGGGACCCCATCATTTCCGCCCCTACAACCCAGAGTATCCTGGGGAGAAGGGGTGCCCAGATTTAATCTCCGAAGTTTCCTAGAGTTCCAGAGTGGGCCGTACTGGCTCTTTCGAATACTCTAGTGGGAGTTGTGTGAACGCGGGTGATTTGAGCTGGGGTGAGGGGGGCTGATTTTGGGCGAGGCTGGACTTCGAGGGAAGGTGCTCGTGCTTGGGATTCTTACCCGTGAGCCAAAGGCTGCCGCCAGGTGGGCGGACCTGCCTTGGGCGGTGCCGGCAGGGCTGGCTCGGCCCGCCGGGGGGCTCGGACGTCGGGACCGCAGCCGGCCGGCCGCGGTGACTTAGAGCTCGGGGGCCCGGCAGCCCCGCGCGCGCAGCCGGCCGGCACTTGGCCTGCGCAGAGGAAAGGGTGCAGGGGGATCGGGGGTGAGAGGCAAAATGGCCTCTGCACTTGGGGGCTGGGAGCACCTACGAGCCCCTCGCGGCCCCTGTGGAGAGACTGAGTCCGAGTGAAAGACGCAGCATCCTCAGGCTGGACCTGGGGCCCGCCGGGCAAACTGCCCACTTAGGGAGCTAGGAAGGTAGGGAGGAGGCAGCTTTCCAGGCAGGTTAGTGTGTGGCCCTCACGCACAACAGGTGCATTATTGGGATCCCTGGAAAACAGAAACGCTTCCCCTTTAAACACTTCCGGTGGTTCTGCGATTGAAAACTAGTTTGATCTAGGAGGTAGTTCTCAAGGTATGAACTCCCAAGTGTTGCAATAGTTGTTTTGCACTGTACAAACGAATCTTCATTATTTAGTATTTTGTTTGTTTGTTTGTTTTTTGTTTTTGAGACAGAGCCTCAAGCTGTCGCCCTGGGTAGAGTGCCACGGCGTCACAGCTCACAGCAACTTCCAACTCCTGTGTTTAGGCGATTCTCTTGCCTCAGCCTCCTGAGTAGCTGGGTCTACAGGCGCCCGTCACAACGCCCGGCTATTTTTTGGTTGTAGTTGTCATTGTTGTTTGGCAGGCCCGGGCTGGATTGAACCCTCCAGCTGTGGTGAGCTACAGGCACCGAGTCTATTTAGTAGAGCTTTTAAATAGACATGTTAAATGATGAGGGCACAAGAATAGATTTCTCCTCAAAGCAGCCTTTTTCTTCTCTTGTAATTTTGCATTTATAAATTGCCTCTCTTGTTAGGTGATGGAGAGGAGGATAGGAAGTTAAGTAACACAGATTCTCTATATTTCTGCAACTTCCAAGCTATTTGCAGAAGTTATGGGCATTGGCTCCTGTTTGTGAGGTACTGTGCTAAAAGCATTTTGTATTTTTTTTTTTTTTTTT